ACGTCCTTTTTCTTCCGAATCTCCAACCTTGTGATGTACATCGTGATCATCATCCACTGGAACGCCTGCATGTATTACTCGTTCTCCAAGGCCATCGGGTTCGGAACGGATAAGTTCGTGTACCCGGACACCACGGACCCAGAGTTCGGTCGGCTAGTGAGGAAATACGCATATAGCATGTACTGGTCCACACTGACGCTCACCACTATCGGTGAAACTCCACCGCCAGTCAAGAACTCAGAGTACTTCTTCGTGGTCACGGACTTCCTAGTCGGCGTCTTGATTTTCGCCACCATCGTCGGTAACGTCGGTTCGATGATCACCAACGCGAACGCGGCACGCGCAGATTTCCAAGCTCGCATCGACGCCATCAAACAATACATGAGCTTCCGAAAGGTCACCAAAGAATTGGAGAAACGAGTCATTAAATGGTTCGATTTCTTGTGGACCAACAAGAAGGCGGTGGATGAGAGAGAAGTCCTGAAGTACCTGCCGGACAAGCTGCGGGCGGAGATCGCGATCAACGTGCACCTGGACACACTGAAGAAGGTGCGCATCTTCGCGGACTGCGAGGCCGGGCTCCTGGTGGAGCTGGTGCTGAAGCTCCAGCCGCAGGTCTACAGTCCCGGAGACTACATCTGCAAGAAGGGCGACATCGGACGCGAGATGTACATCATTAAAGAAGGGAAACTTGCAGTGGTGGCGGACGATGGAATCAAGCAGTTTGTGGTTCTCAGCGACGGAAGCTACTTCGGGGAGATTAGCATCCTCAACATCAAGGGCAGTCGCGCAGGGAAACCGCAGAACCGCTAACATACGCAGCATTGGCTACTCAGACCTCTTCTGCCTGTCCAAAGACGACCTGATGGAGGCGCTCACCGAATATCCCGACGCCAAGGCCATGCTGGAGGAGAAGGGTCGGCAAATCCTGATGAAGGTACGAGGCGCTTCACTTTAAGGGTTTTCAGTTAGAACGGTGTCGTGTTAGCGCCCCTAAGTTAATAACTAATGATCTTTGCAACGGAAGTGAATCAATCAAAACTAACCTTAGCTGGACAATAACTTTATTCTAGAGCTGCTGTAAAGCCAAACAATCTCTGTTACTGTAATCTCCTGTTATCTCTGTAAAGCTGCTGTGAAACAATCTATATTGTTATAAGCGCTATATAAATGAAGGTGACTTGACTTGAGAGCAGTTGGGCCCTATGAAAGAATATAAAGCTGGGCCCCCTACCGCACCCATTCCATTAATATAATCAATCTCTGGGGGCCCCAAAAGTGTGTGGGCCCTTAGAATCTAATTGGATTTTTTGCCATTAACGATCTGTCCGTTATTCTTATCTGTATCATCAGGGATGTAGTGGAGGCTAAACGCACGTAAACGCCGTTTACGCACCTCCCAATATTCGGAAATAGCGTTTACCCACCTCCAAAGTGCGTTTATCGACCTCTAAATTGCGTTTATCCACCTCTAAATTGCGTTTATCCACCTCCAAATAGCTATAAATTAAGCTTATGTCGTTTTAGTTTCATATTGTTCATTATTAGTTTCATAGGTTGTTAAACCTAAGACGAACTCTTTCATATTGCGCTGCATTACTGTCAGTGTTGTTGACTATTACTGACGGTAAAGTTGCGCTGTTGACGCTCGCGCAGCCTCTCGAGGAGAAATCTACACACATGAGCGCAGCACACACACACACTCAGTTAACATACTGCCTATAAAAAATCTAAATGTGGAGTTTTTATATTTTTAACATATGTTAAGCAACCTCAATTATTTTTCCTGAACACCATCACGATTGGAAATGTAACATTGATTCCCTGCTACAACAGTTCAATAAACAGTTAAAATTAAGTCACTTACATTTTAGATGCAATATTGCAATATTGGCTGTTTTTGTTCTGTTTCAGCAGCGAAAATAGTTCCAAACAAAAATCACAGCAGAACCACGGCGCATCTCACAGGAACACTCGACCTGTTTTCATTACTGAATGATTCAGCATTTTGAACGAATCGATTGAGTCAAAGATTCAATGACCCATTCATAAACATCTGTCTCATTCTTGAATGAATCAGCCGTTTGAACAAATCGTTTGAATGAATGAATCAGTGACTCACTCATTAAGATGGTCACCTGCCGCCACCTACAGGCGGTTTAGTGTTATGTTTAAAAGTAGATCATTCTTTCCAACGTTTCTTATTTGTAAATTTAAATCAATTTTATAACATTATTTAATGTTTATTTTATGCAATTGTAATTTTTCAGTGTAAATGATTTAATTTGATCAGCCCTATAGTGTCTTATTATTGGAAATAATTTAATTTATTGATCAAATTTGGGAATTTAAAATGAAAGATGAAGCATAATAATATTGGGGAAGGGGATGCCCTTTAAAGGTGCAAATATTACAATATGCCGATTTAAATATCAAAGCTGATTGAACACTGATGAGAAATATTGTTTCAGAATAAATTAACAAAAAAAAAATAATAATAAAAAAAAAATCCGGACCACAAACTTTTTACTCGGACAAGTGAATGACAGATTTACTTGTCCGAAGGACAAGCGTATGAAAAGGCTTAATGTCGACGTCGACCCCTGCCTATAGCAATGTCATCAGGAGATAAACATACACCGATAGGTGGCCCACCTTACCAGGTGCGATATTTTTTTTCACAGGATGGTAGGGGAAGACTCATGAATATTCATTAGGGAACTCATCCCCCTATGACCTACCCCCTAACCCCGCCCCTAAACCTACCCGTCACTGGGGGTCTGATGACCTACCCCGGTGACCACGTCATGGTCCACCAGAATTTATAGTTTACCCACCTCTTTTTTTACCACTACACCTCTGTGTATCATGACCAAAAATCACGGAGTATTTTAAGTAAAATGCAGTGATGTGTGTGTGTCATGCAGTAAGAGCTCTCCACACAAACACTAATAATAGCACACATTTATCTAGGTTAGCAAACATTTGCTACTAAAAGTTGCTACTACTTACATGTTTTAAGTGATAAACCATTTTTGAGGTCGATGAATGATAGGCGAATGTTTGGATTTCCTGCCGTTAACGATCTGTCGATCACTTACTGTGGAGTTTTTTTTCTCCGACTAACCGACTAATAAAATCTTAGTCGACCAAACCTCTTCTAGTCAACTGACGGTTAGTCGACTATTAGGGGGCAGCCCTACAGATTACTTTTTCAATTTACAACAAAATATCTAAGCTACTTTTTCAAATAAGTAACTCTAGTTACATTTCCACATTTATTGACTGACAGCTCTCCTGTCCCCATGTTGAGAGAAATAAAGTGAGGAGGTGTGTGTGTGTGTGTGTGTGAGTGTGTGTGTGTGTGTAAACATGATGGTTAATTTAGTTCTACACTAAATGTGAACTTGCATTTACTCTTCTCACTTGCACGAAAACATTCAGTATCCCTCAAAATGAATAAAAACAGTAAAATGCAATCTCAGAATTTTGCCTAGAACTTTTTATACTTTTTAATTTTGCCCACAATTATACTTTATGTATTTAATCTCACTTTATTAACCAATGTCTTTGCTGCTAACCTTCAATGATCGAATTCAACCATACTAATAAGCTAAAATGACTTTAGAATAGATTTAGAAATAAGAGTCTTGAACTTCCTTCTTCTGTATCCTATTGTTCTATAATCCAGAATAACAGCAGCTGAAAGGTTTGTTTCAGCGGCGCCCTCTACTGTACTCTACTGTACTCTACCTCTACTGTTCTCTACCTCTACTGTACTCTACCTCTACTGTACTCTACTGTACTCTACCTCTACTGTTCTCTACCTCTACTGTACTCTACCTCTACTGTACTCTACTGTACTCTACCTCTACTGTACTCTACCTCTACTGTACTCTACTGTACTCTACCTCTACTGTACTCCACTGTACTCTACTGTACTCTACCTCTACTGTTCTCTACTGTACTCTACCTCTACTGTACTCTACCTCTACTGTACTCTACTGTACTCTACCTCTACTGTACTCCACTGTACTCTACTGTACTCTACCTCTACTGTTCTCTACTGTACTCTACCTCTACTGTACTCTACCTCTACTGTACTCTACTGTACTCTACCTCTACTGTACTCTACTGTACTGTACCTCTACTGTGCTCTACTGTACTCTACCTCTACTGTACTCTACCTCTACTGTACTCTACTGTACTCTACTGTACTCTACCTCTACTGTACTCTACTGTACTGTACCTCTACTGTGCTCTACTGTACTCTACCTCTACTGTACTCTACCTCTACTGTGCTCTACTGTACTCTACTGTACTCTACTGTTCTCTACCTCTACTGTACTCTATTGTACTCTACCTCTACTGTACTCTACTGTTCTCTACTGTACTCTACTGTACTCTACCTCTACTGTACTCTACCTCTACTGTACTCTACTGTTCTTTACCTCTACTGTACTCTACCTCTACTGTACTCCACTGTACTCTACTGTACTCTACTGTACTCTACCTCTACTGTACTCTACTGTTCTTTACCTCTACTGTACTCTACCTCTACTGTTCTCTACTGTACTCTACCTCTACTGTACTCTACTGTTCTTTACCTCTACTGTACTCTACCTCTACTGTACTCTACTGTTCTCTACTGTACTCTACTGTACTCTACCTCTACTGTACTCTACCTCTACTGTACTCTACTGTTCTTTACCTCTACTGTACTCTACCTCTACTGTTCTCTACTGTACTCTACCTCTACTGTACTCTACTGTACTCTACCTCTACTGTTCTCTACTGTACTCCACTGAACTCTACTGTGCTTTACTGTACTCTACCTCTACTGTTCTCTACTGTACTCTACCTCTACTGTACTCTACTGTACTCTACCTCTACTGTTCTCTACTGTACTCTACCTCTACTGTACTCTACTGTACTCTACCTCTACTGTACTCTACTGTACTGTACCTCTACTGTGCTCTACTGTACTCTACCTCTACTGTACTCTACCTCTACTGTGCTCTACTGTACTCTACTGTACTGTACTGTTCTCTACCTCTACTGTACTCTACTGTTCTCTACCTCTACTGTACTCTACCTCTACTGTACTCTACTGTTCTCTACCTCTACTGTACTCTACCTCTACTGTACTCCACTGTACTCTACTGTACTCTACCTCTACTGTACTCTACCTCTACTGTACTCTACCTCTACTGTACTCCACTGTACTCTACTGTTCTCTACCTCTACTGTACTCTACTGTACTCTACCTCTACTGTACTCTACCTCTACTGTACTCTACCTCTACTGTACTCTACTGTACTCTACCTCTACTGTTCTCTACCTCTACTGTACTCTACCTCTACTGTACTCTACCTCTACTGTACTCTACCTCTGCTGTTCTCTACCTCTACTGTTCTCTACCTCTACTGTACTCTACCTCTACTGTTCTCTACCTCTACTGTACTCTACCTCTACTGTACTCTACTGTTCTCTACCTCTACTGTACTCTACCTCTGCTGTTCTCTACCTCTACTGTTCTCTACCTCTACTGTACTCTACCTCTACTGTTCTCTACCTCTACTGTACTCTACCTCTACTGTTCTCTACCTCTACTGTACTCTACCTCTACTGTACTCTACCTCTACTGTTCTCTACCTCTACTGTACTCTACCTCTACTGTACTCTACCTCTACTGTACTCTACCTCTGCTGTTCTCTACCTCTACTGTTCTCTACCTCTACTGTACTCTACCTCTACTGTACTCTACTGTTCTCTACCTCTACTGTACTCTACCTCTGCTGTTCTCTACCTCTACTGTTCTCTACCTCTACTGTACTCTACCTCTACTGTACTCTACCTCTACTGTTCTCTACCTCTACTGTACTCTACCTCTACTGTACTCTACCTCTACTGTACTTTACCTCTACTGTTCTCTACCTCTACTGTTCTCTACCTCTACTGTACTCTACCTCTACTGTTCTCTACCTCTACTGTACTCTACCTCTACTGTACTCTACTGTTCTCTACCTCTACTGTTCTCTACCTCTACTGTTCTCTACCTCTACTGTACTCTACTGTTGTCTACCTCTACTGTACTCTACCTCTACTGTTCTCTACCTCTACTGTACTCTACATCTACTGTTCTCTACCTCTACTCTACCTCTACTGTTCTCTACCTCTACTGTACTCTACTGTTCTCTACCTCTACTGTTCTCTACCTCTACTGTTCTCTACCTCTACTGTACTCTACTGTTCTCTACCTCTACTGTTCTCTACCTCTACTGTACTCTACTGTTCTCTACCTCTACTGTTCTCTACCTCTACTGTACTCTACCTCTACTGTTCTCTACCTCTACTGTTCTCTACCTCTACTGTACTCTACTGTACTCTACCTTTACTGTTCTCTACCTCTACTGTTCTCTACCTCTACTGTACTCTACTGTTCTCTACCTCTACTGTTCTCTACCTCTACTGTACTCTACTGTTCTCTACCTCTACTGTTCTCTACCTCTACTATACTCTACTGTACTCTACCTCTACTGTACTCTACTGTACTCTACCTCTACTGTTCTCTACCTCTACTATACTCTACTGTACTCTACCTCTACTGTACTCTACTGTACTCTACCTCTACTGTTCTCTACCTCTACTGTACTCTACTGTTCTCTACCTCTACTGTACTCTACCTCTACTGTACTCTACCTCTACTGTTCTCTACTGTTCTCTACCTCTACTGTACTCTACTGTTCTCTACCTCTACTGTACTCTACTGTTCTCTACCTCTACTGTACTCTACTGTTCTCTACCTCTACTGTACTCTACTGTTCTCTACCTCTACTGTTCTCTACCTCTACTGTACTCTACCTCTACTGTACTCTACTGTTCTCTACCTCTACTGTACTCTACTGTTCTCTACCTCTACTGTACTTTACTGTGCTCTACTGTTCTGACAGAATGGAGAGATAAACCTTTGTGAGAACCCAGGCTCAGTCGCTCAGTTCTCCTCTGGCCAATGAACGAACAGTGTATGATTATGATTCAGGCAGCATTACAGGTCAGAAGTCAGATTGGCAATCAGAATATTATCCAGCTCCCTCTGGTTGTAGATCGGAGTCACGCCGGTATGGAGACGAGTTTGTTGAGGATCAGTGCCGATGGCTGTCATGTCGATGAGGCCTTCACAGGGGAGAGTGTAGATGGCACACTCAGGGATGCGTTGTGGACGTGTCCAGGCACAGGTCCTCCATCTGATCTAGATACGGCCTGGATTCGGCTGATTACAGTTAACCTCGGAATAAGCAGACAGACTAACATTAGCATAGATGCCATTGTTCTTATGATGTAGCGAGTACATCAGGTGTTATAGGAAGTGTTCCCGGTTCCGGCTGTCCTAATCTATGCAGCCTAATAATGATTTAACTGATTTGAATAATAGGAATGTATAATGTTATGTGTATGCTAGGTCAAAGAGATGTGTTTTTAGTCTAGCTTTGAACTGACAGAGTGTGTCTGCTTCCCGGACAATGGTAGGAAGACTGTTCCAGAGTTTTGGTGCTAAATAGGAAAAGGATCTCCCGCCAGCAGTCGATTTAGATATTCTAGGTATTATCAACTGGCCGGAGTTTAGAGATCGCAATAGACGTGAAGGACTATAATGCGTTAAGAGCTCGCTCAAGTACTGGGAGCTAAACCATTTAATGCTTTGTAAGTAATCAGCAATATTTTAAAATGTATACGATGTTTAATAGGGAGCCAATGCAGTGTTGACAGAGCCGGGCTAATATGGTCATACTTCCTGGTTCTGGTAAGAACTCGAGCGGCTGCGTTTTGGACCAGCTGGAGTTTGTTTATTAAGCGTGCAGGGCAACCACCCAGTAGAGCAGTACAGGAATCTAGCCTTGAGGTCATGAACGCATTATTGTCCTGCTTCTGTCATTAAGTGCATATGACGTAATTTAGATATATTTTTTAGATGGAAGAATGCGGTTTTACAGATACTAGATCTCAGTGCTATGGTACGGGCTAAAGTGCTATGGTACGGGCTAAATCCGGACTGAAAATCCTCTCAGATATCATTTCTTTCTAGAAAGGAACACAGTTGTGAGGATACTGCCTTTTCTAATATCTTTGACAGAAAAGGCAGATTCGAGATCGCCCTGTAATTGACTAATTCTGTACGATCAAGTTGTGGTTTTTTAATAAGTGGTTTAATCATAGCCAGCTTAAAAATTTCTGGGTACGTATTCTAATGACAAAGATGAATTACAGTTTTTTACAGTCACTAGGACACATTTCTCAATACTTAGGTTACTTTTTCTTCACTCTTCACACAGTGAGCACAACAGAAGTGTATGTGGGCTAAACTGTGGATCATTTATCAGTGCTTTGGCACAAAATGCGTTCAATGACGACATCTTTCAAATTACATTAATTCTTTTCTCACTTCGACACAACAACCGCCAAAACTCTGTGTTCCTACAGGTCAATCTGCACATGCTTACTGATCTCAGAACTGTTAAACTTAAGTTCAAAACAATAACATAATACAAAACTGAATAAGACAGCATTTTTGCCACATTTCTACAGTAATATTGTAATGAAATATATTTCAAATCTAAAAATTAAATGGTATAAAAACAATTGGACATTTGGACCAACCACAGCTGATTCCTATTGTATCTGAATCAGTGGATGGTGTGTATACACATTTTTGTACTTTGGAATTACTCCAAAAACATAAAATATATAAAGTATTGAAGCATAGGCGACTGCATCATGTCTAACTCATTCTAGTCACATATATTGCAGTGATTTCTAAACAGTAGAGAGGTAGAAGAAAGAAGGCATTTACAGAGGAAAATATTGTATAAAGTTTCCTGTTGTTAGTGTTTTTTAGGTCATTGTTTTGTGGGTGACAGAGTGTGTGTGTTGGCTGTCAACCTTTGCTAGTGTTCTGGAAGAGTGTGTTGATCTGAGACATGTACGAAGTGATTCTGTAGTTTCAGTGCATTTTGAATGTGAAATGAGCTGCTGTGCCGAGCTGGACGCTGGGTAGGAGAACTGTGTGAAGAGTTTTGAAAAAGCGACCTAAGTATTGAGAAATGTGTCCTAGCGACTGTAAAACACTGTAATGATATTAAGAAGAGGATCTATGACCTCTGGAAGCATCTCTTTCAGTAATTTCACAGAGAGAGAGAGAGAGTGTGCGTCTGTGTGTGTGCGTGTGTGTGCGTGTGTGTGTGTGCGTGTGTGTGTGTGTGTGCGTGTGTCCGTGCGTGGGTGTGTGTGTGTGTGTGTGTGTGTGTGTGTGTGTGTGTGTGTGTGTGTGTGTGTGTGTGTGTGTGTGTGTGTGTGTGTGTGTGTGTGTGTGTGTGTGTGTGTGTGAGTGAGAAAAACAGATTTCCCCAGCCTGATGTAACTGTGAATGCTCTGCTGTTTCTCCACAGGATAATCTCCTGGATCTGGAGCTGGCCAAGCAGGGCCCGGACCCGAAGGACATGGAGGAGAAGGTGCTGAAGATCAGCGGTGTTCTGGACGAGCTGCAGACCCGCTTCGCACGCCTGCTGGCCCAACACGAGGCGGCTCAGGGCAAGCTGAAGAAGCGGGTCACTAAACTGGAGCAGAAGATCTCAGACTCAGGAGGAGTGGAGATCCCTGAGCCATGAGGGAACCAGACAAACCCGTCAAACTAACGAGTGTTAGAGTCCTGAACAGAAGCCTTGTTGTGTGTGTGTGTGTGTGTGTGTGTGTGGTCCAGCTTGGGGTTATCCCGCCAGTCTGTGTTTCAGCACTGCAAAAAATGCTTTTCTTACTTAGTATTTTTGTCTTGTTTTCAGTCCAAATATCAAACATTTCTTTCTATGCATTTACTAAAGTCGTAAAATGAGATAAGATATTATGTCCTGTTTTCTGGGGAAATAAATACAAATTAAGTGAGTTGATGCTTAAAAAAAAAGCACAGTTATCTACCAATGGGGTAAGAAAAATAATCTTAATTCAA